TCACAATATTGAACCAACGAGGCAGGAAATTGTACATTGTACGTCGTAGCTTGTAGATCCGTGACCGTCCTGTGCAATAATATATGCATTCCACTTCGTCCGTCTATATGAAAAAAAAACTCCGGTTCTAGATAGATGATTCCGTCTTTAGATCGAAAATGTCTGTCAAACGAGACGAATCAGCTCGCACAGGAGGGAAACAACGATAAGAAAACACGAGAAATTAACCGTAACTCACCTCGCCTTTCCCAGACGCCTGCCGCTCAGCCAGCAGGGCCGTCCCCTCGGCCTTCCAGTCCGTCTCGAGTATCGCCGCCAGCCGCGCTTCGACTGCACCCATCCGCATGTCTTCCAGCACGAAACTATATGAATTGTTAACAACGATACCGAATTCCAGCAATGCAGTGATGCATCATGCCTGTCTATAGGGTGCGCCACAGCATGAGCGACCGCCTGCACGAATCCCGCCTTGTCGCCGCGGAACACGTTGTAGACGTACGGCGGGTCGAGGTACTTCAGCTCCCCGTGCTGCGAGCTCCACCGTGTCTTGTCGCTGGGGTTGTTGGCGTCCCACTACGAGTCCAATCAAAAGTTGAATTTCGTCTTGGAGGGGAGAACACGTACGTGGTGAATTGGGTTTATAAACGGGACCCCAAGGCACAGCGCTTCGTACGGGGTCGGAGAGCTGTAGATGGTTGAAAATGAATTCCGCTCCGTTAACAGGAAGGAACGCACGTCGCCGGAATCCCCACCCCCACCAGCACCCGCGACTCCGCTACCGTCGCGTAAAACCTTGACGCTGGGAGGAACCCCACATTCGTGATATTCCGCGGGAAATACTCAGGCAGCTCCTGCTCCCTCACACCCGCGAGGAATTGAATTTCGCTGGCAGCGGCAGCGGAGGCGAAGAATTCCGGGTCGTACGCGCGGTCGGCGGGGTTAAAGTACTTTGCCTCCTTTGCGAGAACGTATGCCTGCGGCTTGCGGTGTGCATGCGACACGAATGGTGTCCGGGCGCACTGCGGGTCGATGCTGTACCCCAGGTACGTGTTGCCCTCGATTCCTGTGGACGCGCTGCTGTGAGTGGTTAATGACGGGTCAGACGAGCCTTACTGCGATACTGAGAAAATTATGGGTTTAGGAGGTGAAAGAGAACGGAAATTGGACTCACAGGCTCGGGGCTCAATGTCCATTTCCGTCCTAGGGGATGTTCCGGCTGCGGAAATACATATTAGCTTTCACTTCGATCACAAATTGAACGATAAACGGACCGAGTCCCAAAAATGAAACGACAGGATCTTCCACGCTGGGATCCCGTGCGGCCTGTTGCCCGAGAGGATGCACTCCTGGTCGCGGAAGCATGCATATGCATCAGGCACGTCCACCAGGATGACAGCCACCAGCGCGCGGAACATGTCGTACAGCTGGCTCATGCGTTCCCGGCTGGTCGAATATAGATAGCTATACCCCGTGCGCCGCAGGGCGATGAGCTTCAATATGCAACACGTCAGGGCCGTTTCATCTGCGACACAGAGGCACTCACCGTCGAGTTCGCCCAGATGGCCTCGCCTCCGTTTTCACCGTGGAGAAGCCCGCGGAATGGGGATGCTGCGAGGATGACCACTGAATTCACATGTCAGTGCGAGAAAGGCGAACGAGGGGAGCGGACCTTTTGTCTGGTTCTGCCCGCAGGTGGAATCCTCGATACACTGGAGTAGAGAGCTTATCGTGCGCTCGTTTTCTGCTATCCACGAGTGGTCGTCGACAGCGAGCCGAAGAGGGAAGAGGACTTGACTGAGAGACTGACTTCGCGCAAGGTCCAGCGGATGGGCAGTAACCAGCGCTCCGAGAGACGTCCAGTTGGTGTACGCGCTGCAATATATGATAACAGGGAGGGCCAGGAGCGACACGCACATGACCAGTAGCACAATCCTCTGTCGCGGAAGTAGCAGGGATTGATAGCTGTGGATAGTCGCATCAGCCTTGGTCTACCTGAGCGATAATTGACTGCAAACCATGACAAAGGAGGCATTACGACTCGGAGAGGTTGCAAGACGATAAGTTGAGGAAGAAGAGGGAATAGCTGGACCGAGGGCACGCGAGTAGGATGCGAGATGCTGTGAAGTAGTGTGTGGCGTTGTTCCGTGAATTGATGCAGTAGACGGGTTTGAAGCCGTAAAGATGTAACTAGTTCTACAGTATGCACCTGAGCGATTGGCTGCTGGATACTATAAGTGCAGGCGGTGGAATAGCTTGAGATGAGATGTGCAATAGATGTGTACAGTAGCCTTGTGATTTTGGCCCTTGGTTTTGGCTTGTATTGGTTGATGTAGCTGGCCGAGGTTAAAGAGCCGTAAACAACAGACACAGGTGGAAAGGCAGCTCGTCGAGACCGAAAAGCACTGAGCGAAGATGGTGGCAGAAGACAAACCAGAGCAAAGGACTCACGTGTCTCATCAGTGGCCGTGTCAAGCAGGGACAAGCAACCGCTACCGTCCCAATTTGGCGATAATGGCAGTTTTGCGAGCCCGTACTGATTTGGGCAAAATATGGGCTAATAACGGACTTACTAGGCTCCCCCTATGCTAAGCTGAAGTTGATCGCTTTTATCGAAGCGTGAATAGCTCAAAAGTACATATTGTCGCATTCCACATATTTTTCGTCACGACCGGGTAGCATGGAGCATATTGGGACGTGGTAATGTCCTTGGCACCTAGTTAATACTACTGGGTTTTTTTTGCATGATATTATCGGAAATATCCGTAGAAAAGCGTAATTTGGACACAAGATCACGAGCCCATGGCTGTCCCTCGCTTTGGCCTCATCGCCACCGTCACGTCACCGTCACCGTCACCGCCGGCCCGATCACCAACACGACACGCGTCCTCACGCGTCCTCCTTTCCTCGTCGACTCGCCGTCGATGTTGCGTCGCGCCCCCGCCCCTGTTGTTCGTTGTTTGTCCGCCCTGGCATTGCCGTCCCCGTTGCGCAACGTCACTCAACGCCGTCCTCCGCTTTCAGCGCGCCCATCCACTCCGGTCACGGTGCATGCGGCAGCTCTCCCGCACGCGTCCAAACGCGAGGCATTCGCAAAAGAACATCCATCCCAGATCCCGCGTCCGCTTGACTGCCATTCCCTCGTCTACCCACGACATTCTCGAGCATACACCTAATATTCCTTTGCTCGCCACCGCGGTGAAACAGTCTCATCGCTTCCGTCTCGGCGTCTCCACGCCCATCCCACCGACGTCACAATTCCCACTCCGTCTCACGCATCCTAATGTCGGCGCACAGTCAATTTGGATCTAGTGGTTATTACAACCTCCAACACCATTTCCCGTTATCGCCTTATCCGTTGCCCTTACTTGTCAGTCACCTCGTTAGTTTCCCGCGCGCATTCCAGTAATATTCGCATGCCGATCCCGCTATCCATCTCAAACCCGCGCGCATCTCACGGAAACCCTTCACAGCACGAGTTTTACCGACGCATCCGCGCGCGCACTTGCCACGATTCTGCTCGCGCGTCGGCGTACATTCACGGAGCTTCACGCCGATTTCAACTGCATCCTCGAGCCGAGAATACGCGTTCCTCGTCCTCCACTCCGCTGCACCCATGACAGTGACAACTACAGAGAGCGCTCGTCACCACTCGAGTTGGCGTGTACACCACCACTCAATGTATCTATGCCCAGATGAATTCGTCCTCCGTGCGCATAGCAGTGAACCCCAGCATCCTACTCTCGCTTTCCCCAGCTCTTTTCCCACCTTGTTCCGACTCATTCCGGTGCGTGTCCGATTGACATTCGCAACTAGCACTACCGCGATTTCCCGATCCTTGTCTCAGACCAACTCGCAACTTGCAGCCTAGCATCCACACCACACGTCCACCCTTTCCCGACCGCTCTATGCAGTGCAGGTCTCCATTCAAGCTGCTTTTCTTATCATTACCATGCCGCTCTTCCCACTTCTGAGCCGTCTTTCCGCGCGCATTCGCAGGCCATGCCATACTACACCGCCTCTCACTTCTCTACGCGTCTATACACGCTAGGCTCTCGCCGATGCGAACCACCAGCCCGTGCACGTCTCCACCTCGGCGCCTCGCATGAGTTCAAATCCACCCGCGCAACATGCAATCTTGAACTCGCCGTCCGCCAACGCCGCTCCTTTCCGTCTCCGTTCGTGTGTCCGCACGCAACATCTCCACCATTCATCCTCGTCTCCTCTGTGTCGTGTTCCTCCTTCTAAAATCATTCGGACTCCACTCGCACGCGGGTCTACCTCGCCCTCACACCACCCACACGCACGTCTCAATTCCATCGCGCAGAACGCATGAACATGCTCCACACGTGTATCCTGTCTCTCGTGTGCCGCAATTGCTTTTCACCTCCAGCATCCATCCTGTTCAATCCAACCTGCTACAAACGATTCCTGCACCACGTACCATCTGCCCCAGCCGCCAAACCGCCTCCTCTCGCAACTGCTTCACGCTGTCGATTCTGTCCACTCTAGTCGTTACAGTAGCTTGTTTTCTCCACTTCTCCACTCCGCAATTCACGCGTTTATCCCGCCTCAATTCGCGACTTGAATTTGCAACCTTCTACTGAACTCGAAGGCAGCCCCGCCCTCAACCAAGTCAGGTTTAGTTGATCGCTGTCGACACAACATTTTCATACTGCGCATCATCCGACATCATTGTCATTCAAGGACCGGTCCACATACTCTGCAGTTGTACGGTGTACCATGCTCAGGTGCACTCCGTTTGCACAAATATTTTCCTGCTTGCGTCAAAACCATGCCTTAGTTAACATCCTCCGACTCCAGTAATTACTGTCAACTTTTCTTTACTCCGCTCGCTCGTACGCTGTCATTGACAACGGCATTTTCCCGCAGAGTATTTCACCCTTCAAGTTGCTGTGCAACGATGCGGTGCTCAACTTAAAGCTCTTTACCAGGTCACAAGCGCGGGACCCCGGCAGCGCATCATTTCGGCGCCCTCCAACAGCAGCATGGCGCAGTCTGGAAGCGCGCGGGGCCCATATTTCGCGACCAACCCCGAGGTCACTCGATCGAAACGAGTTGCTGCTATGAATCTTTAACGAGATGTTTTTTTTTGCCCTCATTTTGTCTGTTGATAATGGTCCCTCATTGTTTACTACATCCGCGTGACGTTCCTGCGAATCGACGAGGTCGCTCGATCGAATGGGCTGCTGTTAGTATCTTCTCCCTTCAATTTTTGCCTGCCATGACGCTTTCCTCAACAAGCTGCAATTTTAAATCTGAAGGCATTTTGTCGTTCCAGCGCCAGATACCCCCAGATGAATATGAAAGAAAGAATTGTACGCCCCGATAAATTATATCCGGAAGCACCCGCGAAGCCTTTTTTGGGGGGTTTTGTAAACATAATTCAAAATGTGGACGCATCAGTTCGCACATCCCTTGTTCTTCCCTCGTCCTAGCCTCGCCCCTTTAAGCTGTGATGTGTCGATTTATGGTCCGTCACAATCGGCGGTAATTTATCCGCGGGCTGCATTCGCTGCGTCACGACGAGACGAGAAAACGGAATACCAAGCGCTCACCCGCTGAGTGACACGGTTCTCAATCTTTTACTAATGTCCAATTGGAGGTAAGAATTAACTTTCTGCTCAGTAGGAACCTTCCTGATTTCTGCTCAGCGGGAATTTCTTCTACATGTATTCTCCCGAGGACTCCATTCAAATTCTTTCAATCGTAAGATGGGAACCTGGTCCCAATCTGGTCCATCCCAACACGAATCGTGTTGTTCGGGCCTGGCCGGGCTTGAAAGCCTCGGGCTGGCGGGGCTTTTGAGGGCTTGGGCTTCCCTACTGGACCGGGCCCGGGTCGGGTCGGGCTTAGGGCTCGGGCCCGGGCTTTCAACTTTTCTTTTCATCTGCATTGGGGTGAGGGAGCTTTGAAAAACATGTAAAGGAACTCTCCCTAGACGCCTCAGGGATTTCCTTCACTGCCTGGCATCAATGTATTCGTGTAATTTAGCAAGCCGAAGCCACCTCACCTCACCGAAATACGATGTTCATCCACTACTACCCTCGAACGGAGCAGTTTATCTGAACGTTGAGGTACCACTTACGTTTCAACCAGATTTTATGGGTTCAAAAGCATCCTGAAAAAATCATTCAGTGATTGTTCAGTGACCAAAATTGTATCCACAAAAGCCCGGCCTTGAGCCCGGCCTTGAGCCCTGAGCCCTGATGGGCCCTTGCTTGGGCCGGGCTCAGGCTCGAACGATTGGTACTGTGCCGCGGAAATCGGGTTGTAGTAAAGATTCTAACCCAAATATATAAAGGCTTGGTAAATGTCGTACGGGCCGACGCATACCACGTGTTGAAAATGTTAAAACTTATATTAGAGCTGTTGGTTTCACCCTTTTTCGTCCGATCAGCCTGGATCACAGTATCTAAATCATGATACCGCAGATCCATTCCGTAACTTCCTGAAAATTACCACAGTATTACGGACAGCCGCCGCTACGGCAGACCACAGAAAGTTGACATTGAGGATGACCTTCCAGCTAGTTGGTTGGTAATGATTCATGAACCTCACCGCCGTGGAGCGATACCGATTCGGAATCCTAAACCAGGTTTGCCAACTCCGCCAAGAGGGACGGGCCATCCCGCTCGTTGTGCATGTTTGGTCATATGGCTGTGTCAGCGCTCCTTCGCCTCGCAATCCGAGCAATCCAATTCCAGCTCGATGCATCTGGGCGATTCATGAGCCTGGGAAGAAAACCGAATCACAGAAAACCCCGCCGTAATCTGGCAAGCTCTCGTCATTGTGGCCTGGCACTGGCGAAACACATCACTTATACCTCTTCGGTTTCCTGGACTCGGACTGCCAGTGCCTTCGTTGCTTTGACCGATTTTCAGGGACAGGTCTCATCACCGAAGATGATCTCGTCAAGTCGTTAATCAGTCAGGAACGTCCGGGGCCGCGCCTGTCTGAGAATAGTCTCGTTTAAATAACGATTCAGGTATATAAGCTCGAAGCCCAAACTTGGAAATCCATATTCGCGTTTCCCCCCCTACTCAGTGCACTCTCAAGCAGGATGTGGCTCAAACCCTCATGGAGCTCCGTCGCTGCATTATCGATATTCATTCACTCCGCTCGCAGTGCATGTTCTGGAGTCGTCCCAGAAGCATCGGCAGGCGGTTAGTGGCCTCTTCTCTTCTTTCCTGTCCCTGACACATTTTCTTAGATCAATTTTGGATGGCCAACCCTGGACTCCATGTATTTGGCAAGAGTGCCTATAACCCGGGCTTCAAGGTACGATCATCGAGCGTCTGTCCGGGCACATGCTCATGATGTTTATCAGGTCTGGCGCAACGTCAAACAGGGCTACGGGGTGCGTAACACTGGTCAACATTGCATGTAATGCTAACAAATCGTTTCTTTAGGCCGTCGGAAATGGTATTGCTGGTGGGTTTTGCGTCTGACACCGCCTGTAGGTCTTCGCTAACCGATCTTTCAGACGACACCGATGCTATCAACAGGGCGATTAGCGGTATGTCTCTCCTTTTGGATGGTGTGCGTCTTTCAATTAATGGGGCCAATAGATGGTGGCCGCTGTGGCCAGGGATGCAAATCTTCCACTGTGCGTTCTCAAGCCTAAGACTCAAGGCGTCTCTCTTAAAAGAAAGAAAAATTACAAAATTTGACAGATTACGCCAGCAGTTATATATTTTCCCCCTGGAACAGTATGTACCTTGCGCACCTTGACCAACATCATTTACTCACCAACCTCGCAGTACCGTATCACCAAACCAATCGTTCCGTACGTGATTTTAAAGTTCGTCAACGCCCCACCATCAACTTATGCCCATGCATTATAGCTTCTACTTTACGTCTCTGTGAGTTTGGCTTCTTGGTTGCGGCAACCGGAATTGACCAGTGGCAAAGCGTTGGCGATGCTAAAAACAAACCCATCCTCAAGGCGGATGCTAATTTCGTGGGGGTCGCTGTCATCGGTGAGCCATGACTGCGAATCAATGCTTGACTTCTCACTCGCATGGTCTAGATGCCAACCCATATGTCCCCGGCCAGTCAAATCCCGACGGCTCCGGCGTGAACTGGTGGATAAATCAAAATGTTTGTGTCATAGGCTTTCGCTGTAAACGTCGATTCTGAGTTCTTGTACTCCAGAATTTCTTTCGGTCAATCAGAAACTTCGTTATTGATACTACAGCGATGAGCGCCGACAAAACCGCGACTGGCATCCACTGGCAGGTCGGTCAGGCCACATCCCTCATCAACATCGACTTCAAGATGGTGAGGGCAACGGATATTCCTAGCACGAAGCATCAGGGGTATGCATTTTCTCTTGCAACACACTGCTAATGTTTGTTGATCGTACATATCACATCCATAGTTTGTTTGCCGAAAATGGATCCGGCGGGTTCATGTCCGACCTTACCTTCGATGGGTATGTGATACTATCACTAATATCCCAGGATACTCCCTCTGAGCGCGACCTTGATAGCGGTGCATTCGGAATGTGGATCTCGAACCAGCAGTTCACAATTCGCGGTATCAAGATCACCAATGCTGCTGTGGCGATTTACGAGGAATGGAATTGGGGATTCACCTGGCAGAACGTCGATATTTCGTGCGTATTTCCACCTTCAATCAAATCTCTGGCGTACTAACACGCAACATAGTAACTGTCTGGTTGGGTTCGACATCCATACGGGTGGTCTAACATTGGCAACGCAGAGCGCGGGTGGTGTTCTTATCGTCGATTCATGGATCAAGAACACTGTTATAGGAATCAGGGTAAGTTGTTCTTCGCATTTTTATTTTTATTTTTTCATATCGTGGAAATTGGCAAACGTTTAACAGTTGTCAAGCAGCCAACCCTCCAGCCTCGGCGGATCGGTGGTTCTGGATAACCTTCAGTTCTCCAACATATTCAGCGCAAACATCCAGGATAAGAATGGTGTAGTACTGGCCGCGAGCGCTGATTTTGGACAGCAATGGTTCCAGGGAAATGTGTATCTCGGTGCGCGGGCATTTGGCCAGTCCATCAAGTTTTTTCCCGACACCTTGATGTGCTGCAGGATTAACAAAGAGTTACAAGCGCGCGGCGTATAAGCCTGCACAGGCCAGACCTTCCAGCTTGACCAACGCCTTCGGAGCCTACTTTTCCAGGTCGCGGCCACAATACCAGAACTACAAGGATACGCGTCTGTTTTCACTCGCTCTATCTATCTCTTTCCACATGTAATGATCTATATTCAGAATTTCTCACGGTCAGGGATCTAGGAAAGGCTGCAGGCGACGGGGTCACCGACGATACAGCTGCGATAAACAACTTCCTCCAAGAGGTCAGTCGTTTTGCTACCATCGTGATTGATTGTTGACGTTATCTCTTCTCCTTTCAGTACGCTGGATGCGCCGTTTTATGTAACATTATACTTCGCCTCTAACCTTGCACCCGCTGACTTATTGCGCAGTATTTGAGGCCGGCACATATCTTGTTTCGGACACGATCTTCATCCCACCATCTGCACTCATCGTCGGAGAAATGTTCTCTACTATTATGGGCACCGGCCCAAAATTCGCTGACCAAAACAACCCGCGGCCAGTTGTTCGAGTAAGTTCATGCCTAACTTAAAACGCTTAATACTCAACTGGCGAAGGTGGGGAATCCTGGGGATACCGGCGAAGTCGAAATCAGCGACATGGTCATTACAACTACTGGGGGCTCGGCTGGTGCGATCGGTATCGAATGGAATATCAAGGGAAACTCGCAAGGATCTGCCGGTATGTGGGATGTGCACGTCCGCCTCGGCGGAACCAAGGTTTGTGAACTGCATGCCTGCAGCCTATCTTCTGAATTATACAGGGTACCAACATCAACGCCGCCAACTGTCCCACTTCAACCACTGACGTGAAGAAGTGTGCCTCGGCATTCCTTGGTTTCCACATAACCAATTCGGGTTCGGGGTATTTCGAGGTTGGCGATTTCCCGCTCTGAAACTTTCCATTGCTGAGCCAAGTTTTGCTGTAGAATGTTTGGGTTTGGAATGCAGGTGCGGAGTTGATTATATTTC